TGGAAGGCACGAAACACTGTAAATAGCGGTGTTTTAGCCACTTTTGGGCGCTGAAACGTTGGTATTTACACGGTTTTTTGCCCGTGACGGCGCCAAACCCCTGTAAATTACAGCATTTTTTGCACTTTTTGAACCGATGTTTTGCCTTGATGAACGCAAAAAACGCTGGTATTTACGCGTTTCCCAAAAAATCGAAGATCGTGACGTGAACGAAACCCTGTAAATAACAGTGTTTTAGCCACTTTGGGGGACTAAAACTGTGGTATTTACGCGGGTTCTTGCCAGCTGACAGCGCAATATGCTGTAAATTACAGCACTTTGTGCGCTGTTTATGTTCAATTTTTAAACGTGCGATGCTTTCACATGTTCTTTGCATTATTTTGCACTCTTCCACAAGAAACAACGTTGCAGATTGAAACTGGACGACAGCGTGACCCGAAAGAAAGCTGGAGGGAGGAGACGCACAGAAGCTTTTACCCACACACACAGGGGCTTTTACACAGAGAAGTCTTTACACAAAGGAGCTTTTTACATACAGAAGGTTTTACACAGAGAAGTCTTTACTCTAAGGTGCTTTTGCAGACAAACGTCTAGGAGCTTTAACTCACAGAAGTTTTTACACGAAGAAGTCTTTACACAGAGGGCTTTTTACACACAGACGCGTTTGCACACAGAAGCTTTTACACAGAGAAGCCTTTACACAGAGGAGCGTTTACACACCAAAGCGTTTACACACAGCAAGCTTTTACACACGCAGGGGCTTTTACACATTTACACAGAGTAGCTTTTTACACACAGAAGGTTTTACACAGAGAAGTCTTTCCTCTGAGGAGCTTTTTCACACAAACGTCTTGGAGCTTCTACACACAAAAGCTGTTACACAAAGAAGTCTTTACACAGAGAGCTTTAACACACAGACGCGTTTACACACAGAAACTTTTACACAGAGAAGTAGCCTTTACACAGAGAGTTTTTATACACGGAAGCTTTTACACACAGAGAAATCTTTACAAAGACATGCTTTCACACAGAGAAGCTTTTACACAAAAAAGTCTTTACACAAAGTGGTTTTTACACACAGAAACTCTTACACACAAAAGCTTTTACACAGAGAAGTCTTTGCACAGAGGCGCCTTTACACGAAGTAACAAGTTGAAATCGGCAGCAGTTCTTTAGGAAAAACCCTTCGCAGGAGCTTTCGGGAACTCACTTGCTCCCCAAAAAATCGTCTATTCCAACAAATACGTTCCAAAAAACCTAAGGAATATATTTCTGAAGCAGGTCCTCATTCAGTAACTTTCACGCCCACACTGCGATGAAATGGAGGGCCGAGTGGTCCGGCGGAGCCGACGAGGGGCGTCAGCCCAAAAATCCTTCAGGAGGGTGGGGGAGAGCTTTTTGGCCGGAATCCGGGTCGCTCATAAGCGTCTCCAAGAGCATTCCCCCCCCCCGTTTTGAGGGTACCTAAAATCGGAAAAAAGCGCCGTTTTGACACATTTTTCGGACGATTTTTCGCTTTTCGAAAGTCACAAAATGCTGTAAATTACAGTATTTTTGCGTTTTGACGTCTTTCGCGGGAGCAATGAAAAAAAGCAGAAAATGCTGTAAATACCAATACTTTTTAGACCGGAGATGCACAAAACACCGCAAATACCAGTGTTTTTGAAAGCCAAGCAAAAAAACACTGTAAATTACAGCATTTTTGGCAAGTTGATCGCAAAAAATGCTGGTATTTACACTGTTTTTGCAATTTCAAGAAAACGTGGAAGGCACGAAACACTGTAAATAGCGGTGTTTTAGCCACTTTCGGACGCCGAAACGTTGGTATTTACACGTTTTTTTGCCCGTGACGGCGCCAAACCCCTGTAAATTACAGCATTTTTTGCACTTTTTGAACCGATGTTTTGCCTTGATGAACGCAAAAAACGCTGGTATTTACGCGTTTTTCAAAAAATCGAAGATCGTGAACGAAACCCTGTAAATAACAGTGTTTTAGCCACTTTGGGGGACTAAAACTGTGGTATTTACGCGGGTTCTTGCCAGCTGACAGCGCAATATGCTGTAAATTACAGCACTTTGTGCGCTGTTTATGTTCAATTTTTAAACCTGCGATGCTTTCACATGTTCTTTGCATTATTTTGCACTCTTCCACAAGAAACAACGTTGCAGATTGAAACTGGACGACAGCGTGACCCGAAAGAAAGCTGGAGGGAGGAGACGCACAGAAGCTTTTACCCACACACACAGGGCCTTTTACACAGAGAAGTCTTTACACAAAGGAGCTTTTTACATACAGAAGGTTTTACACAGAGAAGTCTTTACTCTAAGGTGCTTTTGCAGACAAACGTCTAGGAGCTTTTACTCACAGAAGTTTTTACACGAAGAAGTCTTTACACAGAGGACTTTTTACACACAGACGCGTTTGCACACAGAAGCTTTTACACAGAGAAGCCTTTACACAGAGGAGCGTTTACACACCAAAGCGTTTACACACAGCAAGCTTTTACACACGCAGGGGCTTTTACACAGAGAAGCCTTTACACAGAGTAGCTTTTTACACACAGAAGGTTTTCCACAGAGAAGTCTTTCCTCTGCGGAGCTTTTTCACACAAACGTCTTGGAGCTTTTACACACAAAAGCTGTTACACAAAGGAGTCTTTACGCAGAGAGCTTTAACACACAGACGCGTTTACACACAGAAACTTTTACACAGAGAAGCCTTTACACAGAGAGTGTTTACACACGGAAGCTTTTACACACAGAGAAATCTTTACACAGACGGGCTTTCACACAAAGAAGCTTTCACACAAAGAAGTCTTTACACAGAGAATCTTACTTTTACACACAAAAGCTTTTACACAGAGAAGTCTTTGCACAGAGGCGCCTTTACACGAAGTAACAAGTTGAAATCGGCAGCAGTTCTTTAGGAAAAACCCTTCGCAGGAGCTTTCGGGAACTCACTTGCTCCCCAAAAAACGTCTATTCCAACAAATATGTTCCAAAAAACCTAAGGAATATACTTATTTCTGAAGCAGGTCCTCATTCAGTAACTTTCACGCCCTCACTGCGATGAAATGGAGGGCCGAGTGGTCCGGCGGAGCCGACGAGGGGCGTCAGCCCAAAAATTCGGCTCCGCCGGCTCCCCACGAGTGGCTTGCCCCACGAGCGTCCCAGAGCGACTAGAGCTCTAAGGTGAGGCGCGCCCCAAACCGCCGACCCTCCGACGCCGGGCCCCGAAAAACACCAAAAATCCTTCAGGAGGGTGGGGGAGAGCTTTTTGGCCGGAATCCGGGTCGCTCATAAGCGTCTCCAAGAGCAAAAGGCCCCCCCCCCCCGTTTTGAGGGTACCTAAAATCGGAAAAAAGCGCCGTTTTGACACATTTTTCGGACGATTTTTCGTTTTTCGAAAGGCACAAAATGCTGTAAATTACAGCATTTTTGCGTTTTACCGTCTTTTGCGGGAGCCGTGCAAAAAGCAGAAAATGCTGTAAATACCAATACTTTTTGGACCCGAGATGCACAAAACACTGCAAATACCAGTGTTTTTGAAAGCGCAGCAAAAAAACACTGTAAATTACAGCATTTTTGGCGGGTTGATCGCAAAAACTGCTGGTATTCACAGTGTTTTTGCAATTTCAAGAAAACGTGGAAGGCACGAAACACTGTAAATACCGGTGTTTTAGCCACTTTTGGGCGCTGAAACGTTGGTATTTACACAGTTTTTTGCCCGTGGCGGCGCCAAACCCCTGTAAATTACAGCATTTTTTGCACTTTTTGAACCGATTTTTTGCCTTGATGAACGCAAAAAACGCTGGTATTTACGCGTTTTTCAAAAAATCGAAGATCGTGACGTGAACGAAACCCTGTAAATAACAGTGTTTTAGCCACTTTGCTGTAAATTACAGCACTTTGTGCGCTGTTTATGTTCAATTTTTAAACGCGCGATGCTTTCACATGTTCTTTGCATTATTTTGCACTCTTCCACAAGAAACAACGTTGCAGATTGAAACTGGACGACAGCGTGACCCGAAAGAAAGCTGGAGGGAGGAGACGCACAGAAGCTTTTACCCACACACACAGGGGCTTTTACACAGAGAAGTCTTTACACAAAGGAGCTTTTTACATACAGAAGGTTTTACACAGAGAAGTCTTTACTCTAAGGTGCTTTTGCAGACAAACGTCTAGGAGCTTTTACTCACAGAAAATTTTACACGAAGAAGTCTTTACACAGAGGGCTTTTTACACACAGACGCGTTTGCACACAGAAGCTTTTACACAGAGAAGCCTTTACACAGAGGAGCGTTTACACAGCAAAGCGTTTACACACAGCAAGCTTTTACACACGCAGGGGCTTTTACACATTTACACAGAGTAGCTTTTTACACACAGAAGGTTTTACACAGAGAAGTCTTTCCTCTGAACTTTTTCACACAAACGTCTTGGAGCTTTTACACACAAAAGCTGTTACACAAAGAAGTCTTTACACAGAGAGCTTTAACACACAGACGCGTTTACACACAGAAACTTTTACACAGAGAAGCCTTTACACAGAGATTTTTTATACACGGAAGCTTTTTTACACACAGAGAAATCTTTACAAAGACGTGCTTTCACACAGAGAAGCTTTTACACAAAAAAGTCTTTACACAAAGTGGTTTTTACACACAGAAACTTTTACACACAAAAGCTTTTACACAGAGAAGTCTTTGCACAGGGGCGCCTTTACACGAAGTAACAAGTTGAAATCGGCAGCAGTTCTTTAGGAAAAACCCTTCGCAGGAGCTTTCGGGAACTCACTTGCTCCCCAAAAAATCGTCTATTCCAACAAATATGTGCCAAAAAACCTAAGGAATATATTTCTGAAGCAGGTCCTCATTCAGTAACTTTCACGCCCACACTGCGATGAAATGGAGGGCCGTGGTCCGGCGGAGCCGACGAGGGGCGTCAGCCCAAAAATATATATACAGTACATATATATATATATATTTGGGGGGGGAGATTCAAATTGGTGAATGAATCCCACTCCGAAGGTGACTGCTCTGCACCTCGGAGCCGGCCACGCGGATGTCCACCCGGCTGTCCGTGCCGCACAACGTGACCATGAAATCCATGTGCTGCGAAGCAAACGCAACGGGCAAAGGCATACCTGCCGCAAAGTGGCACAGCTGCTTTCTTAGCAATCGAAAAGATTTAAAAAAACCTCTATAAAAGATATCTAAAAACATCAAATCGATTCGAATCAATCGATTCGAATCGATCATCATGAACCGTCGTGAAGACTCTGGGCAAAAGCAGCCACACCTCCATGGACTTTTCGTGATGCATGAGCCTACAAAAACATCCAAAAACAATTCGTTAAACTGTGTTAAACATAGTTAGACTGTTTGTTAAACTGTTGAAGTTGAACTAGTTCCTTTTCAGCGTCCCTGTTGCTGACAGGAAGCGTCTTGGTGTTCAACAGTCTGGTTGACGTTGAGGCTGCTGCTGTGTACAATACACAAGATCGTTGAGTCAGCGGTGACAGCAATGCTTCCCCATCCTCAGCAGGAAAGCGAGAACTGCAGTGGAAAACATACAAAGACTTGTGCGAGACTCATTTCATGGCCTGGTCATTGCATCTTGGCACTTTGCAATTTGGCACAGCTTCTTTCCATGTTTGGCCAAGGCTTTAGCTTGTGGCTCTTGGATCACGGCTTCAAGCCTCAAAAGCCTTGGCTTCGCAGAGCACAATCAGGCCATCTGCAACAGAATATCTATCTATAAGGTCAGAGTGAAACATGGAGTTCCACAAGTCAACAAGTAAAAACCCTCCTTCAGAAGGGGAAAAAAAAACTCGATGCAAGATGCCAGTGGGCAAATTGTTGCAGAGTGGAGGAACTGGTGTGGACTGGTATGCAGTGAGAGTTCAGTAACTTTAGTAGCTGCCTCAGCATCAGCTGAGCATCGCACCAGCGGCTACTCATTGGCTTTGAAAAGTTGACATCATAACCTCCAGCTGAAGGTAGCATCTTTTCCACCTGCGGCTGGCTCCAAAAGTCTCGGAGGTTGACATTCTCGGTTTACAGATTTTCAGTTCAACATGCACCTCTGCTTGTTTGCTGATCTCTTTTTCAACTGTGATGTCAGAGTAAGGTGATTGGATCTTGCAGGTCCAAACTCGCTCGTCAAGCTTTGCTCCAAGTACGGGTAAGCCTGTGATGCTGCACTCACTGGCAGAGCCTGCAAACAATGCATATCATCTGCGTATCACTGTTATTCAAAAAAAACGCAGAAAACCAGCATCTTGATCAATCCAACCGAATGTCGAATCTTCAGTCCCTGTGCCTGTATCCGGGACCGCAATCTGCCAGAGATCATGTCCGCATCCGAGTCCTTCCATATCTGCATCTTGAATCCAAAGTCACTGTGTGCATCTTTCACTGCTCTTGCTCCTTGTCTTCCTTATTTGGCCTCAGGGAGTCAAGGAGAGTTGTCCTCACATGACGAATCTAAAAGAGCTAAGCATATTCCATCAATGATCATGAAATTATGTGACTATCAATCTAAAATAGTCTGAAACCGCTTTGTCAGGCTCTAGGCTGCAAACTTTCTGATAACACATTGACCAAGGCTGCCTTCCACGAGGCTTGCCTGAAAGGACAAAGTTGCAGGAGTCATACAGTCATACACCTTTGCAGGACGTGCGGATAAGCCGTTCTATCAGTTCTGTCAAAAATAGCCGTTCTGCAGGAAGTATACCAAGTATGCCTCGCGGAATACAGATGTTACAGCCTGGGCTTTGGACCAAGCTTTTGAAAGAGTCTTTGGAATCTGCCGATTTTTCCGCCACTTCTTTTCTTTCTGGCTCCTCGCATTTCGACACGGCAACTTGCCACGGCTCTTCAGGATAAAGTAATCTTAAGAATTGAACAAAAGAATGCCTGCAACCATGGTCTCTCTATCTGCCACGCGTTCCAATCTTCAGCACTCTACCTTTACCAGTGTTTATTATATATTTATATAATGTATATATATATATATACATAATGTTTATACATATATATATACTTGTCACCCTTCTGATTTTTCCATCATCACTCCTGAAGCTCGCTACCCGACGGTTCGGTGGATCGACCTGAGCTCATGCCAATCTGGTGCTATGCATCTCTCTCTATTCTCTCTTCTCAGAATTAAAGGAATGTCATTACGTCCTGAAAAACCAACCACTGATGCCTGCATATGCCTGCAGCTTAGAATTCTGCTAGAACCAGGCAGAACACTCTTGATCACGTTGTCAGCCTCAACAGGTTGGAATTCAGTATATAATAAATATAGGTTGCACGCTACCCAGACTCTGTTTTGCGACCCTTCTTCCGTGAAAATCAACCTGTACTTTTTGCATTTTTTGCGGCCAATCAAATGAATTCATCAAGTCTCTTCTGGCCAAAGTTCAGCGCAAGCCTTCACCACCGCCAACAGCATGAACGTCACAGCCACGCCGAGCAGAGAGAACCTGAGGCAGCATGGTTTTGCAGCGGCAAATCAATAGTTTTTGTTGGCAGCGGACGCTGCACAGAATTGAGTTCGCAGCACAAGGATAGCCTTCCTCCACCGATGATGCGGAAGCACCTCGGTACAATCCAGCAGTTTGATACCGTGATTGGGAGGCTTTGTGCAAATCCGCTGCGCCTTGCCATTATGGGTGTCCAAATCAAACCTCAGCACACTGCGGTGGAGTGTAAATTATGTTTCATGTGTTTGAGTCGCTGATCTCCAGGAAATTTTCGCAAGAAAATTACAACAATGGGACAGGCACACTTCCAGTGGACCTCATGGGAACGACTTACAATCGCTTGCAGCTGAGAAGCCACTTCTTAGCGACCATCTCCATGGCAAGTTGATGTTGCACAGTTTTGCTCACCTTTGTCAACAATGTCAAATCTGTGACCCAAAAGGTTCAAATCATTTGATCCATTTCAAATCAATAATGACAACACCGACATAGCGCAGTTGCCACTTCCGAGCTCCTCTGTATTCACGAAATCAGAAGAAAACTGCATGGTTTGTCCAGTTTGCAAATGCCAGGACGCTTCTGTCGTATGATCTTGAAACCAAAAAGCTCCTTTATCAACTTCTGTTTTTCCCGAATGCATAGCACGGGTTCCCGTTTCACTCTGGGGGTCTGGGGGTGGAGGCTGTGTTCGCCAGACGTTGCGCAACCGTCCGCAACCGCTCGCAACCGGTCGCAGGCGGTCGCGTGAGGCCCGTATGGCCGTGCCTATGGCGAGTTCTGCAAAAGTGGTCACTCTTGGAGGTTTCAAATGCCGCATAGCCTCGTTTCGCGTGGCAGGCGTGGCACTTCGTGACAGTCCAGCATGTTTCATAACGTGTAGAAAGTCGTTTTGTGCGGCAGGCGCAATACTTTTGCGTCGATTCAAGAAGATGAGTTGCATTTTTCGTGGCAGGCGTAGCACTTTGGAGGTCATTTTGCGTGGCAGGCGCAGCACTTTAGACGTGTGCTGTTGCGTGTTTTCTGCGAATCGCATTGTCAAAGCTGCGTCATGAAGTGACAACGTGCAAATTACGTGGCAGGCGTGGGACAGCGTATGAGTGTCATTTTGTGCGACAGGGGCAGTATTTGGTGGAGACCCGTCGTGTGTGGAATTTTTTTTTGCGCGGCAGGCGCAGTATTTCGGACACCCTGCACTTTGAACTCCACACTCTACACTTGACACTACACTCAACACTTTACACTCTGGACTTTACACTCCACACTTTACACTTTACACTCCACACTCCACGCTCTACACTCTACACTTTACACTCCACACTCTGCACTTTAGGCTTTACATTCTCTACACTATACACTCCACACTCAACACTTTACACTCCACACTCCACACTTTGCACTGTACCCTCCACCCTCTACATTTTACACTCCACACTCTACACTTCACACTTTGCACTTTACACACTACACTGTACGCTCTACACTCTACACTATACACTATACACTCCACACTCTTCACTTTACACTTTACACTTTACACTCCTCACTCCACGCTCTACACTTCACACTTTACACTCCACACTGTACACTCTACACTCTAGACTTTACACTCCACACTTTAAACTCTACACTTTACACTCTACACTTTACTCCACACTCCACACTCTACACTTTACACTCCACACTCCACACTCTACACTTTACACTCCACACTCCACACTTTACACTTTACACTCCACACTTTAAACTCTACACTCTACACTTTACACTCTACATACACTGTACACTTTACACTTTACACTCCACACTCTACACTCCACACTCCACACACTCTACACTTGACACTTTACACTCCACACTCCATACTCCACACTCTACACTTTACACGCCACACTTTACACTTTACACTTCACACTTTAAACTCTACACTCTACACTTTACACTCTACATGCACTGTACACTTTACACTATACATTCCACACTCTACACTCCACACTCCACACACTCTACACTTTAGACTTTACACTCCACACTCCACACTCTACACTTTACACCCCACCACAGTCCACACTCCACACTTTACACTCCACACTTTACACTCTACACTCTACACTTTGCACTCCACACTCTACACTTTACACTTTACACTCCAGACTCCACACTCTACACTCTGCACTTTACACTCCACACTCCACACTCTACACTTTACGCTCCACGCTCCACACTCTACACTCTACACTTTACACTCCACACTCTACACTTTAGGCTTTACATTCTCTACACTTTACACTCCACACTCAACACTTTACACTCCACACTCCACACTTTGCACTGTACTCTCCACACTCTACACTTTACACTCCACACTCTACACTTCACACTTTGCACTTTACACTTTGCACTTCACACTCTACACTTCACACTTTCCACCCCACACTTTACACTTTACACTCCACACTCCACAATCCCCACTCCACACTCTACACACTATATTATATACATTCCCCACTCAACACTCCACTTTCTTCACACTGCACACTTGGCATTCCACACTTTGCATTCCACCCCATTCCACATTCCACAGTCTACAGATTCTACAGTGCACTGGTACGGTAACAGGGGAAAAGTACAAGACTTTTCAATTAACTTGTTTCAGAAAGGTGTTTTACGTGACTGCATTCGGGTTTGTGGGCTGCATCTTCTTTTTTCTTCAGTTTGCCCACGTGACCTCTATTGCCAAAAAGAAACCTACACCGTGATTTGCTGCAGCTACAGTACCTCCTGACTAGTTTTGCATCATGGAGTTGCAACACTTGCCCCATCTTGCCCCCTTTGTGCTCCACAAAAGCGAAAGGCTTCGGTCCGGTCCTTTGATAAAGAAACACCAGGACTGCCGGAGATTTGCAGAGTTTTGGTTTTCGTCCGGGAGATCCCACCTCTCGTCTCATGATCGAAGGTGACAATTCTGCGACAGAGGCATCGTCTGAGTGCCCCTGGAGCTCCTGCACATGGTGGAAGAAAAGAAAAAGGAAACGAATTACGCAACGACATCGATTGACAGCCTTTTTGAACGCCTTTTGGTGATTTTCGTGAAAATTGGTTCAGAAATATCCCGCATAAACCGCATTTCAGGATACACACAAAGCATCACAAAGCTGTTTGAGTCTGCAAAGCTCTTTTTGACGTCATCCAAACTTCTGACTCATGCTGAGTTCTGTCCTCTTTCTCATCACCTCTGGGCAAAGTAAAGCCATCACTGCCATCGCTGTCCTTCCGCAAGGAACCGAAGATCAAATGAACTGACATGCTGTAAGCTTTGCTCCCATTGATTGGCGTATCATCCACTTCTGTCATGGCCCCAGAGTTCTATCTGTCCTCATCTTCGCCACTCTCCACAGAATCTGCCTACCAACCGTCGCAGCTTCAACAAAAAACATGTGAAACATTGAAACCAATTGCAACAAATCGTCTGTATCTACTTGCTAGCCTTTTGGCTAGACGGCTAGACCATGGCTGAGGTATGCTGAGTGATTCGATTCCGGGTCGTGCCTCGGATTGAGCCATGGTTTGGTCTTCATCCTGGTGGATGTGCTCAGCACAATGACGAGCCGAAGGTCAAGATAAAGCCACACACAGCACAGCATGAAGAATGCGGGAGGCTCAAGCAGCTCAAGCCTCTGCATCATTCGGATCAGGAAGTTCTTCCTCAAGGCCCTAAGTTTTGAGCGGTTGCAAATGTTGGAAGCTCCCGGAAGGAAGTGATAATTTTGACTTGGACAACTGCGACACGACAAGGCTTACAACTGCATTCTCTGTGGGATTCTGCAGCCATGCATCATCTTGTTCTGTGGGTTTGTCAGAGAGTTTCACAAGTTCATGATGCTCGCTGGGAACCTCCGCTGCCTCACCACTCTCCTTCCCAACTTCCACAGCTTCAGCCCAGCGATGAAACCAGTGTAGGGAGGGTAGGTCGATTCATTTTATCATTAGGAAATGCAACAATGACATTGACCACATAAACCACATTGACCACATTGACCAACCAGAGACATTTCATGCAGTCCTTGACCCGCATCTCATTGGTCTTGTGCAGAGGTCCCTGCAAAGACTTGCTCAAACTTGAAACTTCGATGCGAAGTGTGCCCACTGTGCCATTCAAAACCAATTGCATCCAACTCCGCCAACTCCCAAATACAATTCTTACTACCCAGTTGCATTGAAAATTCATTGAAATCCGCCGACCCCTGCCGCCAGCAGGGGGAGCGCGTCAGAGGAGGCCTTACTAGCAACAAGGGGCGAAGAGAGAAAATTGTTGGACAAGCACGGCCGCCTGCGACACGGTGCCTGCGACACGGTGCCTGCGACACGGTGCCTGCGACACGGTGCCTGCGACATCAGAAGGCAACGTTTGGCACTCTGGGCTACGGGCAGCGGGCCCAATCCGCCCTTCACTGCCATGTTGTTTTAGCCCTGCGACGCGGTCCTCGGACTCCAGCTTGGTCCGGAGCTGTGCAGAACGAAAGCCAGCTCCGGGAGGACACGAGCAGGGTGGCAGTTGGCAGTGCAGAAACGCAGGTAAACTCAAGGTTTGGAGTTAGTTTCTAGTCGGTTCAGAAAATAACGTTTGGCACTCTGGGCTACGGGCCGCGGGCCCAATCCGTCCTTCACTGCCAAGGTGTTTTAGCCCTGCGACAGGGTCCTCGGACTCCAGCTTGGACCGAAGCTGTGCAGAACGAAAGCCAGCTCCGGGAGGACACGAGCAGGGTGGCAGTTGGCAGTGCAGAAACGCAGGTTAAGTCAAGGTTTGGAGCTAGTTTCTAGTCGGTTCAGAAAGCAACGTTTGGCACTCTGGGCTACGGGCCGCGGGCCCAATCCGTCCTTCACTGCCAAGGTGTTTTAGCCCTGCGACAGGGTCCTCGGACTCCAGCTTGGACCGAAGCTGTGCAGAACGAAAGCCAGCTCCGGGAGGACACGAGCAGGGTGGCAGTTGGCAGTGCAGAAACGCAGGTAAAGTCAAGGTTTGGAGCTAGTTTCTAGTCGGTTCAGAAAGTGACGTTTGGCAGTCTGGGATACGGGCCGCGGGCCCAATCCGTCGCCGCGGGCCCAATCCGTCCTTCACTGCCATGGTGTTTTAGCCCTGCGACAAGGTCCTTGGACTCCAGCTTGGACCGAAGCGGTGCAGAACGAAAGCCGGCTCCAAGAGGACACGAGCAGGGTGGCAGTTGGCAGTGCAGAAACGCAGGCAAAGTCAAGGTTTGGAGCTAGTTTCTAGCCGGTTCAGAAGGCAACGTTTGGCACTCTGGGCTACGGGCCGCGGGCCCAATCCGTCGCCAGGGTGTTTTAGCCCTGCGACAGGGTCCTTGGACTCCAGCTTGGACCGAAGCTGTGCAGAACGAAAGCCAGCTCCGGGAGGACACGAGCAGGGTGGCAGTTGGCAGTGCAGAAACGCAGGCAAAGTCAAGGTTTGGAGCTAGTTTCTAGCCGGTTCAGAAGGCAACGTTTGGCACTCTGGGCTACGGGCCGCGGGCCCAATCCGTCCTTCACTGCCATGGTGTTTTAGCCCTGCGACAGGGTCCTTGGACTCCAGCTTGGACCGAAGCTGTGCAGAACGAAAGCCAGCTCCGGGAGGACACGAGCAGGGTGGCAGTTGGCAGTGCAGAAACGCAGGTAAAGTCGAGGTTTGGAGCTAGTTTCTAGCCGGTTCAGAAGGCAACGTTTGGCACTCTGGGCTACGGGCCGCGGGCCCAATCCGTCCTTCACTGCCATGGTGTTTTAGCCCTGCGACAGGGTCCTTGGACTCCAGCTTGGACCGAAGCTGTGCAGAACGAAGGCCAGCTCCGGGAGGACACGAGCAGGGTGGCAGTTGGCAGTGCAGAAACGCAGGTAAAGTCAAAGTTTGGAGCTAGTTTCTAGTCGGTTCAGAAAGCAACGTTTGGCACTCTGGGCTACGGGCCGCGGGCCCAATCCGTCCTTCACTGCCAGGGTGTTTTAGTCCTGCGAAAGGGTCCTTGGACTCCAGCTTGGACCGAAGCTGTGCAGAACGAAAGCCAGCTCCGGGAGGACACGAGCAGGGTGGCAGTTGGCAGTGCAGAAACGCAGGTAAAGTCAAGGTTTGGAGCTAGTTTCTAGTCGGTTCAGAAAGCAACGTTTGGCACTCTGGGCTACGGGCCGCGGGCCCAATCCGTCCTTCACTGCCAGGGTGTTTTAGCCCTGCGACAGGGTCCTTGGACTCCAGCTTGGACCGAAGCTGTGCAGAACGAAAGCCAGCTCCGGGAGGACACGAGCAGGGTGGCAGTTGGCAGTGCAGAAACGCAGGTAAAGTCAAGGTTTGGAGCTAGTTTCTAGTCGGTTCAGAAAGGAACGTTTGGCAGTCTGGGCTACGGGCCGCGGGCCCAATCCGTCCTTCACTGCCATGGTGTTTTAGCCCTGCGACAGGGTCCTCGGACTCCAGCTTGGACCGAAGCTGTGCAGAACGAAAGCCAGCTCCAGGAGGACACGAGCAGGGTGGCAGTTGGCAGTGCAGAAACGCAGGTAAAGTCAAGGTTTGGAGCTAGTTTCTAGTTCAGAAAGTAACGTTTGGCACTCTTGCCAGGGTGTTTTAGCCCTGCGACAGGGTTCTCGGACTCCAGCTTGGACCGAAGCGGTGCAGAACGAAAGCCAGCTCCGGGACTGCTTTCCCAGATAACCACCGAGATGGAATCTTACACAACGAAAATGTGTACAGTACGTCCCCACCAGAAACGCACAGCGCGGAAATCCTTAACAAACTCTTGACATAAACCTCTCAATGCCTTTTTTTTCTGTCAATATGTTTGATGGCCATAACAAAATGAATGGCTGACGGGTCTGCGGTCCATGTTTCTGTTTCACTCCTTCTGCAGTCTTCGATCTTTACAATGATTTTTTGGCCTGGACCGACCTCTCACTCGCAACAAATTGCCGTGGTCCACACAAAATTTCATTCTTCAGTCATTGCGAAACACAATGCTTTCCCCGACGCCCAGGTGAAACCTATGTGTGCTTGTACGTGTGTCTGTGTACGGCCTGTCGATGTACGAATCCACCAACCCATTGAAAGTCAACACCCAACCGCCCTTGGCGTCACCGCCCCTGCTCAACTGCCGTCAGCCATGTTACATTTCCGGCACAGTCTGTGCACCTCCTCGCCGCCCAGCTCCACCAACTCCGCCGTGACCAACTCATGCAGCCTGCAGCCGCTCAGCCCTCCTACATTCCCTTCCCCAACATGGCCCTCATCTCCCCTCTTTCTCTAACCCTTCCTGCATCTTGCAGCACCAGCTGCCATACAGACCCTCCTCTGCTGCCAAGGCACGGCGCGCCAGCGATCGCAGTCGATGATCTGCCCACGCCAGCACCACATGCAATACACGATCGCGGCATGGCTCTCTGTCTATCTACCTTGCAAGTCGAACAGCATGTACTTTTTTGTCAGCGACAGGGCCATGCCAACCTAGTCCCTCTCTATCTCTCTACAGGCTTGGAGATAGAAGAAGTCATTCACATATGTTGATGCACTGTTTCAGCTGCCAACATGCGCAAAAAATATGAGATGATAAACTGTGATGTTGACTGTCATGTCGAATAATGCATTGAATCAGTTTAATCTTTTCATTGATGCTTTGCACTCCCATAAGCCAAAGTCCACAACATCGCGCAGTTGAAGCAGCTTTGTCTTCGTCCAAAATTGCCTTCACACTTCAGATCGCATCACTGCAGAGGCTTTATCGGAGTTTCTGCCCAGTATGGTTTTGCACATATTTTGCGTCTACTAGTATATACCATGGTAATATGACCCTCCAGTGTCCAGGGGTCGGCGGCAGAGGGCGTAGCCCTTTATATGTAAAGCAAAAGCATTGCTCTATGCTTTGCAAGTCGCCTGCTCCAACTCCTCTTGAAAAAATGTCACAGGAGGGCCAGGATTCTTTTGCTTCACCTGTAGCAGGAAATCGCAAGGCAAAGCGAGTGTGTCTGCTGAAGCAAACAACACATGAAGCTTCGTATGGATTGCATGATGTTGTTCCAAAGACAAAGAAAAAGACAGACATACATATATTACATTACATTGCATTGCATTACATTACATTGCATTGCATTGCATTGCATTACATTGCATTGCATTGCATTACATTACATTACATTACATTGCATTGCATTGCATTGCATTGCATTATACCTTACATTGCATTGCATTGCATTACATTACATTGCATTGCAGTGCATTACATTACATTACATTGCATTACATTACATTACATTGCATTGCATTACATTACATTACATTGCATTGCATTGCATTACATTGCATTGAATTGCATTACATTACATTGCATTGCATTGCATTGCATTACATTGCATTGCATTGCATTATACATTACATTACATTGCATTGCATTGCATTACATTACATTGCATTGCATTGCATTACATTGCATTGCATTGCATTACATTGCATTGCATTGCATTACCTTGCATTGCATTGCATTACATTACATTACATTGCATTGCATTATACATTACATTGCGTTGCATTGCATTATACATTACATTGCATTGCATTGCATTACATCACATTGCCTTGCATTGCATTGCATTACATTACATTGCATTGCATTGCATTGCATTACATTGCATTGCATTGCATTATACATTACATTGCATTGCATTGCATTACATTACATTACATTGCATTGCATTGCATTGCATTACATTGCATTGCATTGCATTACATTATATTACATTACATTGCATTGCATTGCATTACATTGCATTGCATTGCATTACATTACATTACATTGCATTGCATTGCATTGCATTTCATTGCATTGCATTGAATCACATTACATTATATTGCATTGCATTACATTACATTACATTGCATTGCATTGCATTACATTGCATTGCATTATACATTACATTGCATTGCATTGCATTACATTGCATTGCATTGCATTACAATACATTGCATTGCATTACATTAAATTGCATTGCATTACATTACATTGCATTGCATTGCATTACATTGCATTGCATTGCATTACATTGCATTGCATTGCATTACATTGCATTGCATTGCATTACATTACATTACATTGCATTGCATTGCATTACATTGCATTGCATTGAATCACATTACATTACATTGCATTGCATTGCATTACATTGCATTGCATTACATTGCATTGCATTGCATAATACATTACATTGCATTGCATTGCATTACATTGCATTGCATTGCATTACATTGCATTGCATTGCATTACATTGCATTGCATTGCATTACATTGCATTGCATTGCATTACATTGCATTGCATTACATTACATTGCATTGCATTATACATTACATTGCATTGCATTACATTACATTGCATTGCATTATACATTACATTGCATTGCATTGCATTATGTATACATTACATTGCATTGCATTACATTACATTACATTACATTGCATTGCATTGCATTTTATTGCATTGCATTACATTACATTACATTGCATTGCATTGCACTACATTGCATTGCATTACATTCCATTACATTGCATTGCATTGCATTGCATTACATTACATTGCATTGCATTGCATTGCATTACATTACATTACATTGCATTGCATTGCATTGCATTATACATTACATTGCATTGCATTGCATTGCATTATACATTACATTGCATTGCATTGCATTACATTGCATTGCATTGCATTACATTGCATTGCATTGCATTACCTTGCATTGCATTGCATTACATTACATTACATTGCATTGCATTATACATTACATTGCGTTGCATTGCATTATACATTACATTGCATTGCATTGCATTACATCACATTGCCTTGCATTGCATTGCATTACATTACATTGCATTGCATTGCATTGCATTACATTGCATTGCATTATACATTACATTGCATTGCATTACATTACATTACATTGCATTGCATTGCATTACATTGCATTGCATTGTATTACATTATATTACATTACATTGCATTGCATTGCATTACATTGCATTGCATTGCATTACATCACATTACATTGCATTGCATTACATTGCATTGCATTATACATTACATTGCATTGCATTGCATTGCATTACATTGCATTGCATTGCATTACATTGGATTGGATTGCATTGCATTGCATTGCATTACATTACATTACATGGATGCATGCATGCATACATACATACATACATGCATATATACATATATATATATACATGTTCTATATATATATGTATACATTTTATAATGACATGTGATACGCACAAGCCATCATCGTGTCGGAATTACGTAAAACACCACCATCAACGAGCTTAAAAGTCCGGTCTAAGACGTTCTTTACAAAATGACCAGGTGACTCTAATGCAATTTCACTTAAGCTGAGCACAGCTTCACTCATTGAAAAAACATGAAAAAACATCAAAACCTGGGCTTTCAGGCCTTGCTTCGACTGATTTTCCTGCGGGTTTTTCACAATTCCATTGAGACAGCTGTTTTTTCCTCGCATTTCATCACCTCACCACTACAGTGTCACTACAGACTCTGATTGACTCAGTCAAAAGTCTCAAAAGTCCTTTCGAGCTCGTGGTGAGAAATACGCCCTCTCGCGTTGACCTGTCACAAAAATTGATGCAAGACTCAAATGCGCTAAATTAGGTCAAAGTTCATCAAGTGTGGTATTCCAAATGATGCGATCTGTAATTTGCATGTCTTAAGCAATTCGGGAGAGGGGAAGACGCCCCGATTGTATGAATTCAATCTTGAGCACATACTCCTAGCGTTGTGCCTCGACATGTTGTTTTCCTTGGGAATGAGTCAAACCTCAACCACCTTCAACCTACCAGTAAAGTATCTGTAATGTCTTGAACATAAGTGGATCCATTGGATGGTTAAGCTTGGTTGTCAGCCAAATTCTCAACGCAGGTCTCAAGTGCCTTGCCTCTTCTGTCAGCAGGCGAGGACGATGTTTGGATTCCTGGTGAGAAAAGAGCGCACGTTGGTAAATAAATTATCAACAATGTTGAACATGTATATTATATGAAAATTGTGCGTGTTATTTCCTTAGGTGTTTAGCAGTTTTAAACATTCACAGACAGCACTGGTGAAAAAGGCCACCTCCAGGCCATCTGCAAACAGAAAAGAAAACCTTGGTGCCGAGAAGCACCAAGAAGCACCAAGAAGCACCAAGAAGCACCAAGACGCATCAAGACGCATCAAGACGCTTGATGCATTTCGATGCTGTTTCATTCTTGCACACTTTGCCATGCTCACACTGCTTCGACTTCGATCAAAGGTCACGAGATAAAAAGCTGTTGGATTGATAGGATGGTTCGAACTGCTGCGATCAAGCCACAAGCAAATCTTCAGAAATCGCATTGCATTTAGCGAAAGGCACCTGGCAAACTGAGAATGTCTCATACGCTCTGACATGAAATGCTATGTGTGTGCTTCTAGGTCTGGCTTCCTTGCCTTCAATATGCTTGGAAAGCGAGAAGGGCAAGCAAGCCTCAGAATTGGTTAGCAAGAGTAGGGGAGTCGACTACAGGGAGCTCTGCCAGCACAAGCCGTGCAAAAGCATAGAGGTTTTAAAACTGATCTGCATCAAGGAACTATTGAAGCATAACCTGCTGACCATGGAGAAGAGTTATAGACAACGGATTGGAAGGAAGAGACACTTCCTTTGAGCCAAATCAACATATAGCACGGACGTTGGATGATCTTGCAAGATCTTGCAAGCCTTTTTAGCAGAATATTGCATCGCATCGATCCAAAACAGTGGACAAAGTGATCTGTCCGTAGGGCTAGGCCAAGCTGCAAATGCTACAAATGCTTAAGTTGCTTAAGCTCTTGTCAAGGCACTGGGCAAATTTCATCAAGAAAATTCAAGAAACGCGCAGAGGGATACCAAAATTAAATAAAAGTGCCTCCCAGTGATGCATTTCCACTTCGTGTTTATGTCTGTTGATCTCCTGCAGCTACAAGAGAAGAGTGTACAAGACTCTGGACACAAGTCTTGTGACCCCAGAACTGTCCCAGAACTCAACAAAGTGTTGAAATCAGAGAAGGCCACTAGGGCCAGGGAATCCTCCTGGGTTCTGCGAGCTTGGTACTCCACTACCAAATGATTGGCCTGCCAGGATGCAAAAAGAACTCTCTTCACCATGGTCTGTGCAAGTACAGGATGCATTGTTATGCTTGATGGGATTTGTTCTGTGACAGTGCAAACGCCCTGCGCGGAACTTGTACGCAGCATGTCGCGTGCAAATTGAGCTCTGCTTAAATACCCAGCCTGTGCTTGAATATCCAGCGTTCAAATTAATGTGCAATGTGTGGAAGATCGTGAAAGTAAGCTTCATGCAAGTAGGCACACATTTGGTGCGAGTACACCTCTTGGGTTTGCTCTTGCAAACCACTGCACCCGCCCCCATGCCGAGATGGCATTTCCAAAACCTACAGGGCCTCACAACAATGTTCAGCAGGGCAGATCCACAGAGAGCAGCGAGACCAAACCACATGCAGACTCTCCACAGAGGGTTGTGCTCGCGCAAAATCGCTCCGTCCACAATGACCCAACATGCATAGTTTTGAAAACTTTCAAACAGTCCCGCCGCTCCTACCCAGGCCACCTCCTCAAACCAATATTCAAAAGAGATTGGGCTATTAAGAAAGGTGGTTTGTCCTGTCTCAGCAACTTCTCTGTGCAAAAAGGCAGGGATGGCGGGTTGAGAAGAGATCTGCGGGGAATGAAGACTCGTGTATGATCAAGTCAAGTATGCAATCGTATTTGTATAGTATCAGGATGTATCAGGTATCAGTCCACCACCACATTTGACTTCTCTGCCAACTCGTCCTTCACTCTTTGTCCAAGGTTGAAAGCGTCCTTCTCACGGATTTTCCGGTACAAGTTCTTATCTAACCTACGACTCAGCACATGGTGTCACATGAGTGTGCCCAGGGAATATGTTTTGCTTTGCACAGCTGGTTGAAGTGAAGGATGGGAACTGTTCAAGTCAGTAGTCGGGAGTCAGCCTGCTCCTCCAACTTTATCCGCATTTGCCGAGCTGACTGGCAGAAGGCATTGTGAATGGCACAGTGTGAAGTGATACCAACACTTCCTGCCTCATGTAGCTGAGCTAGAGCCTTCTGAAATTCTTGTTCTGCTGCTATTTCCTCGGTCATAGCACAAGCAAAAATCAAGAAATGCAATCTGTTTTCTAGGACTTGGATGTAGCCTGATGTAGCTGCGTCTTGGCACGAAAAATGATTCTCACTTCAGCGGATTTCACTGGTGACTGGCGGTGCCTGAGCTCTCAGGTGCTGATCCCAGCGACCAGAAGCGACCTGGCACAGAATGCACAGAATATATGAATCATTACGAATCTACAAATAAAATGAAGTCAACTAAGTCAACTATGTTGATGTTTATCCCGCGACAGCAACGGATCGCAAGTGATAAATATGATACATTTCCTCAAATCTTGGAAAGTTGGAAAGAAAACAAGCATTTGATTTATTTTGATTTGGTATGAAGGTCAAGCAAGCTCAAAACCCAAAGTTGGGCCTCTTTGGCCTGCAATGCTTGAGTTCGGAGAAACTCCTTCTCCCTGGTTGTCTGATCCTCCACCAGTGGAGAAACTCTCAAGTGTCACAGCGACAAAGTCCGACAGTCTGACACCAATCTGAGACACTGCCAGGTACCTCCAAAAGCAGCTGTGCTTGGTGCAGCTGCTCATCAACGTCCCGATAGTTCTTCTCCTAGCGTGAAAGGCAAGACAGAATTTACTCAATCAAGTAGTGGTAGAGAGCTAAGGGCCCAAAAATCACACTTCATCAAGCTCTTGGAGGCTCTCCTTCTGAGCATGCACAACATCGGGTGGTGGTAAATGCCGAGTGAGGCTAGCCTCAGAACAAATACTTTCTGGTTCATTGCCTTGCTTTGCAAACCCAAATTAGAGAATTTACATGTGCAGGCTGGGAGAAATCCAAGATCAAGAGTCTATACCAAATACATCCAAATACTACCTACAGTGTTACAGTATCACGTGAACTTTTTGGCACAGGCGGTTGGTCCGAAGCCTAGGACTAATTACTCTCTCTGCTGCGGAACGTCCTTTCAAAACGAAGCTGCTAGTGTGCGAGATAACCAGAAGATTGACAAAAATCTGTCTGTGCAACAGATTGATTAGAGCAGCAAAGCTGTCAACACTACTGCCCTTTCAGAGCGTGGTTGTTGACGATGTTGCCCTTTGTCTTTGCAATTGATGAACCTCCACAGAAAAAACATGGGTTTTACGTTCCCACAATCTGCAGCAACCTCTGTTTCAAGGCTCTGGCTAATGAATTTCATGACTTTACCAACTGGGATTGAATGCTTCTCTTTAAGAGAAAGCACTCAGCAACTCTCAGCAATCTTCTGAAAGCTGAAGCCAGTCCATTCTCGTCGGTAGCGCCACCAACGACTCCCACAGGCGTGATCAACTCCACTTGGCATCTTTAAATTCCAAGGTTTTCAGAAGAGACACCTTCAGCATCTATTCAAACCTCGGCTTTTGCAAGACAGAAATGGCCTCATAACTTCCTGTAAAAGTTGTAGAACATTTGTGGAACATTTGAAACGCTTTGAATTGGAGCCCCTGAATATTTACATGCTAGAAAGCCGCCGGAGGCGTCTTGACGTCGACCTAGTATCGCTGGCTGTGGAAATCACTTCTCAAATTCTGAAAGCGCATGTGTAACATGTTTATGCGTGGTGTCTCTTCCCGTCGATGAATTCGAGAAACCCGCCAGCGACGTGGTCCTTTAAATCATCGTCAAACCAGTCCAACCTCACGCCAATCATGTGGTCATATGTGGTCGCTGCTGCTGAAGCAACTTCAAGGTTGAGCGTCCGGCGGCACTCCATTTACTTCCAAATCCTTCTTCCACGCAACTTCAACACGGTTGGCAACACATGCAACTTGAAGCTTTTGACAACTTCAAAGCTGACGGTCTTCAACCAAACTTCAAACTGTCGTCCTCCAGGCCAAGTCTGCGTCGGATTTCATCAATGATATCTTTTGAATCAATCCTGCATCACCAGGTCAGGACTGAGTATGTTTAAAATCATTAAAGATTCAATCTCACCCGGAGCGTGCATCACGTCCAAGAAAATACCCCGCTTACGCTTCCAGGCCTTTGCAGCCTTTCTAATGTTTCCCGGCTCACTTTGCCCTGGCCATATCTGCCTCGGCGGTGGACATGCAAGGTTCGACTGCAAGAACTCTCCCGGTTGCCCATTGACATCCTGAGTACCAGGCCTGGATCAGTCACCTCACTCACCTGCCGCTACCACCCATGCAAGTCTGTCAGAATGCTTGGGAAAGGAAAAAAATATATTTCTCCAGATTTCTCCCTTGGAGTCTGCCCTCAAAAATGATGTCAAAATCCAGCATTGTTGAAGGCAAGTGTCACAAACGAGTTTCACCTTTGCGTCTGTGTGAAAATGGGCTTGTTTCAGCAAAATGGCCTGGGAAACATTCTTCGCCCACTGCCTAGAAAGTGGACAAAGACATTAATATCAGTGCGAAACGGTCTGGCATGTCCTGGCAATATCTAAGTGCTACATGACTTAGTGCTACATTGTTATCTAAAGTAGCATTGAGTGCCGAGCTTGTGCATTGCTGCGTTGCCTCAGCAACAGCACCATGTTTGTCAGCTTATTCACCGCTTATGCTTTATGATCTTTATAATTCATATATATATATATATCCGCCGACCCCGGCAGACGCAAGGGGGAGCGCGCCAGGGAATAAGACATTTGACTCTTGTCGGACTACTACTACTACTACTCCTACTCCTACTCCTACTCCTACTCCTACTCCTACTCCTACTCCTACTCCTACTCCTACTGCTACTGCTACTGCTACTGCTACTGCTACTGCTACTGCTACTGCTACTGCTGCTGCTGCTGCTACTGCTACTACTGCTACTACTACTACTACTACTACTAATACTACTACTACGGGTCCCTTCTGGAAGCCTGATGCTGCTACTACTACTACTACTACTGCTACTGCTACTGCTACTGCTACTGCTACTGCTACTGCTACTCCTACTCCTACTCCTACTCCTACTCCTGCTACTGCTACTGCTACTGCTACTGCTACTACTACTACTACTACTACTACTATTATGGGTCCCTTCTGGAAGCCTGATGCTTGCAGCTTGGAGCCACCAAACAACAGCTGCAGGAGACAAAAAAAGACAATTCTTTTTTTCTAACTCTTTTCTAAGATTCAGAAGGGGCGTTAGGCAGTTTTTGTGGGTAAGTTTGAGCACGGTTTCGGCACGCAATTAGGTGCTGTTTTGCTGTGGCGAGGGGTCCCTTCTGCAAGCCTGATGCTTGCAGCTTGGAGCCACCAAACAAGAGCTGCAGGAGACAGAAAAAGAGATAGACCCCGGCCAACGCAAGGGGGAGCGCGTCAGGGCAGAGAGGTTGTGAACAAGAACAATATGTTTGGGTGTTCCAAGCCCTTTGCATTGGACACGATTTCAGAACATACGTGCACGTTAGGCACTTTTTCGGCGCCGTTTCGTGGCTTCTCCGTCCTTCTGCCATGGTGGAGCAACAGCAGCCAATACAGGACCACCAGCAGCAGCAGCAGCAGCAGTTGCAGCAGCAAGGGCTTTTGGCGCGGCAGCAGCAGCAGCAGGAGCAGCAGCAGCAGAAGCAGCAGCAGCAGGAGGACTAGCAACCGCCGCAGGCAACAGAATCTGTCGAAAAATGTTGTTTTTCTAGGATTTCAGACGACACGTTAGGGAGTTTTTTGGTGTGGTTTTGGAACTAGCTCGTCCTTCAGAGGCATGGTGTTTCGCCCCCGGGAGGTGATTTTTTCGAAGCTGTTTTACTGCTAGCAGCCGCAGGCAACAGAATCTCTCGAAAAATGCTGTTTTTCTAGGATTTCAGACGACACGTTAGGGAGTTTTTTGGCGTGGTTTTGGAACTAGCTCGTCCTTCAGAGGCATGGTGTTTTGCCCCCGGGAGGTGATTTTTTCGAAGCTGTTTTACTGCTAGCAGCCGCAGGCAACAGAATCTCTCGAAAAATGCTGTTTTTCTAGGATTTCAGACGACACGTTAGGGAGTTTTTTGGCGTGGTTTTGGAACTAGCTCGTCCTTCAGAGGCATGGTGTTTCGCCCCCGGGAGGTGATTTTTTCGAAGCTGTTTTACTGCTAGCAGCCGCAGGCAACAGAATCTCTCGAAAAATGCTGTTTTTCTAGGATTTCAGACGACACGTTAGGGAGTTTTTTGGCATGGTTTTGGAACTAGCTCGTCCTTCAGAGGCATTGTGTTTCCCCCCCTGGGAGGTGATTTTTTCGAAGCTGTTTTACTGCTAGCAGCCGCAGGCAACAGAATCTCTCGAAAAATGCTGTTTTTCTAGGATTTCAGACGACACGTTAGGGATTTTTTTGGCGTGGTTTTGGAACTAGCTCGTCCTTCAGAGGAATGGTGTTTCGCCCCCGGGAGGTGATTTTTTTCGAAGCTGTTTTACTGCTAGCAGCCGCAGGCAACAGAATCTCTCGAAAAATGCTGTCTTTCTAGGATTTCAGACGACACGTTAGGGAGTTTTTTGGCGTGGTTTTGGAACTAGCTCGTCCTTCAGAGGCATTGTGTTTCCCCCCCTGGGAAGTGATTTTTTCGAAGCTGCTTTACTGCTAGCAGCCGCAGGCAACAGAATCTCTCGAAAAATGCTGTTTTTCTAGGATTTCAGACGACACGTTAGGGAGTTTTTTGGCGTGGTTTTGGAACTAGCTCGTCCTTCAGAGGCATGGTGTTTCGCCCCGGGAGGTGATTTTTTTCGAAGCTGTTTTACTGCTAGCAGCCGCAGGCAACAGAATCTCTCGAAAAATGCTGTTTTTCTAGGATTTCAGACGACACGTTAGGGAGTTTTTTGGCGTGGTTTTGGAACTAGCTCGTCCTTCAGAGGCATTGTGTTTTCCCCCCGGGAGGTGATTTTTTCGAAGCTGTCTTACTGCTAGCAGCCGCAGGCAACAGAATCTCTCGAAAAATGCTGTTTTTCTAGGATTTCAGACGACACGTTAGGGAGTTTTTTGGTGTGGTTTTGGAACTAGCTCGTCCTTCAGAGGCATGGTGTTTCGCCCCCGGGAGGTGATTTTTTCGAAGCTGTTTTACTGCTAGCAGCCGCAGGCAACAGAATCTCTCGAAAAATGTTGTTTTTCTAGGATTTCAGACGACACGTTAGGGAGTTTTTTGGTGTGGTTTTGGAACTAGCTCGTCCTTCAGAGGCATCGTGTTTCGCCCCCGGGAGGTGATTTTTTCGAAGCTGTTTTACTGCTAGCAGCCGCAGGCAACAGAATCTCTCGAAAAATGCTGTTTTTCTAGGATTTCAGACGACACGTTAGGGAGTTTTTTGGCGTGGTTTTGGAACTAGCTCGTCCTTCAGAGGCATGGTGTTTTCCCCCCGGGAGGTGATTTTTTCGAAGCTGTTTTACTGCTAGCAGCCGCAGGCAACAGAATCTCTCGAAAAATGCTGTTTTTCTAGGATTTCAGACGACACGTTAGGGAGTTTTTTGGCGTGGTTTTGGAACTAGCTCGTCCTTCAGAGGCATGGTGTTTCGCCCCCGGGAGGTGATTTTTTCGAAGCTGTTTTACTGCTAGCAGCCGCAGGCAACAGAATCTCTCGAAAAATGCTGTTTTTCTAGGATTTCAGACGACACGTTAGGGAGTTTTTTGGCGTGGTTTTGGAACTAGCTCGTCCTTCAGAGGCATGGTGTTTCGCCCCTGGGAGGTGATTTTTTCCAAGCTGTTTTACTGCTAGCAGCCGCAGGCAACAGAATCTCTCGAAAAATGCTGTTTTTCTAGGATTTCAGACGACACGTTAGGGAGTTTTTTGGCGTGGTTTTGGAACTAGCTCATCCTTCAGAGGCAT